GGGTCCGAAGAGGATCCTCTCCCTATAATAGCTACTAGCTGATAGGACGGTTTATTGATTAATTACTATGTTTAATTAAATTGATTACGTCATTGCTAATTTGCTACATATTTGAAATTAAGGATCCATACGTGGTCAAAATAGTTGTTTGAATGGTGCATTAGGGAGGTGACTACGAGAAATGCTAAGCAGACTCTTAAAAGTGAAACTCTGAATAAATTATCTACCATTTATATAGTGCAAATGTAAGCCATGAATTTTCATTGTGCTTCAACAATCAATTAATAGCTTAGGGTACCAATATCATAGTAGATAAGACGTTAGGTTTCTACCCATGAGTACCAACATCAAAACTATCATTCCTCTAAATTATTATAATAGTTTCGAACATTTTCCCCTCCCTTAATTATAATAAAACAATATTTAATAGATTAGGGTCAACACTGAAGTTTCAAGGATCTTACACTAAAATCTAGAATTAACACTTTTAACTTGGTCTCACGATACAATATTGATTCTACCACGTACAGTTTTGTGATTGAAACGCAACATCAGTTAACACAATCATTGAATTTTTTTTTTTTTACGCTTGCATTGTGCTTGTATTTGGCCACTACGATAGATCATGTGTTTGTCTTTCTTTTTTTTGTTTTGCCAAGTTTTTCTTAGATGAATACAATGTGTGACTAGCACAACTTACATTCGCATTCTTAAGAGTATATAATTTTTTTGTTTCAACAAAGTAAAGAAAAATACTACTACTGGACCACAGATTCATTGGGATTTTTGGCCAAGTTGTATTGCAATTTTTGTGACAACCAGTCACGAATTTTTCGTTTTTATAAATTTTAAAAGAGTGATTTTACGAAAATGCCTTAGACGCAAGAATTTTGACTTTCGTTGACCGTCGGAAGAAGTAGGACTCATTCTTTTAGCATATTTGGGTATTACTCGACGATACGAACATGTGGACACAAGCGGATTTGAATTTGGAGCAAAAACGAGGATATTATGGAATTTGAAATGTAAGGGTATTTTGGTAAGTTCACAAATAGAGATATTTCTCCACTTTGGACACCACATGACTGACACGTGGCACCCCATTTCTGGTGCCCTTTTTCTTTCCCCTCCCGTGATCTCTCCCTCGAGAACTCTCTCGTCTCTCCTCTCTCATCTCTATCAACTCTCCCTCTCTATGTCACATCTCAGTCCCAACTCCACGATATTGTTCACTTTAGGCCCCGACCACGCTCTCACAATTTTGTTTCTGGGAACTCATGAGCAATTTCCCAATAGGGCACCCATCCTGAGATTGCTCCAGCCCAATCTCGCTTAATTTCGAAGTTCCTATGAAATACGAAGCCAGTGAGCTCCCAAAAGGCCTCGTGCTATATGGAGGTGGGCATGTACATATAAGGCATAGAAGATCCACTCCCCTGGGCGATGTGGGATCTAACAATCCACCCCCTTAGGGACCCAACGTCCTTGTCGACACACTTCCGGCCAGGGATTAGCTCTGATACCAAATTATCACATCTTGCCCCAGGCCCCCACCACATCCCAAGTTCGACTCCGTCGTATCATGATATTGTCCGCTTTGGGCCCAAACACGCCCTCACGGTTTTGTTTCTAGGAACTCACGTGAGCATAACTTCCTAGTGGGTCACCCATCATGGGATTGCTTTCACGCGAACTCGCTTAACATTGGAGTTCCGATGAACTCCGAAGCCAGTGAGCTCCCAAAAGGTCTCATGCTAATTGGAGGTGGGAATGTATATATAAGGCATAGAGGATCCACTCCCCTAGGGCAATGTGGGATCTAGCCACCACCCACTGCCTTCTCGGGCGAGTTTCGCCATAGCACCACCATAACTTTCTCATATCCAACTCTCTCTGCACCTACTGTGCATAGTGAAACTACACCACCATCACTGGCTTTCTTCTTAACCTAGTGGTTAATTGTGCTAGCATGACTCCTCAGGGTACTAGGTTCGAAGGCTGGTACTGGCAATGGTGATGATGAAAAATTGTTGAATGGATGTTTATTTTTAAGGGAAATGCTAAGGGACTTTCTCTCTCTCAATTTTCTATGCACAGCAGTGTGCAACCATGTGAGTCTTGAAACCCTCAAATTCTTCACGTTTCAAAGCCCTTTTAGTGTTGGTAACCTTTAAATGGTGATTTGATGACGATTTAATGTAGGAAGCAATCTGGGAAAATTTTCCCAAATTTCTGGGAAACATGACCCGTGGCCATTTGGCCATTTTCACACCAAATTTCCGGCCAACTCTGATCTCCGTTGGGCTTCCTAAAGGTATGACTCTTTTTTCTACATTTCTAATTATGACTCTCTTCTCTACATTTCTAACCTCATTATGGCTTTTGAATCATCAATTTTGGTTGAGTATTGAATTAGAAACTAGCTATGAAAGTTAGGAAAAAATTCCAAAATTTTGGAAAGTTTGGCCGTGACCATCAGGCCACTTTTAGGCCGTTCCCCCATTCAACACCGGCCATGATTGGACCCCCGAACTAGTATAAACCTTTTCTCCACATTCCTAGCTTCTAGTTGGCTTTTGAATCATTGAATTTGGTTAAGTATTGAGTTAGAAATCAGCCTTGGAAGTTAGGAAGAAGACCAACAAAATTATGACCTTCGCAAGGAAGGCGAATACTGATGTACTCGCGGCGCGTGCAGCACGTGGCGACACTGTGCGGCGGCGTTAGGAGGAACCCAAGGTCCTTCCTTAAGTTTCTAGATATGCCAGACCCGAATCAACTCTCCGTTTTTCGAAATTTGACTGTTTTAAAATAGTTCTTATTAGCCGTATTTTGCACGAAAACGCGTTTATATATTAGTGCATTACGTATTTACCTAAATGGTTTCATTTCTAGGTGAAATGCATCGCAAGGATTCTCGATGCTACGAGGTGGGTTCGACTTGGCGACTTGATTAGTGAGTGGGCATTTTGTTTACACACACACACACATACACACACACACACCCCTTGCGGTTTCCATAAATGTTTTAAATTGATTATGCATAGCATGCCAAGATTTAAAATGTGATATATTTGTAAATAATTGCATTTTTATGATTTTGTGTTTGCTAAATGATTCTGCAAAGGCACAGGTAAGTCAGGTAAGTTATTTTATGATTGAGATTGTTGCATTGTATCTGAGCATGTTTATATTCATTTAGAGCTCATCATTGCTGCACCCAGGTGTTAGTGCTCCTGCCCTGGGCCAGGGCACAACCTTTATGTGTATGTTCACCTCTCGCACCGCACGCTCGCCTTGGATCCAAGTTTGTGCTAGCCTGTCATACAGGTCACACTGGAGCATACATATTTACACCCAGCCTGTCGAATAGGTCACACTAGGTGACTCCGACTCGTGTGCTAGCATAGACTGATAAACAATAAATCCAGTCGTACAGGTCACATTAGGTGACTCTAACCAGCATGCTAGTTTAGATTGATTTATACCTAGCTTATATTTACTATTGCTGAGATATTGTGGCATGGCATGCTTCTGTTTTCATAGCTCTTGTACATTTATTTTCCTATTATGTAGTATTATTTCTAGAAATTATACGGGTTTTACAATGAGGGGTTATTACTTTCAGAAAAGATAAATGTGTTTTCTAAAGCTTTGTTTTTGCCCACTCACCCTTCTATTTTATTTTTTTTTTCGCCCTTCCAGGTTTTAGTAGCTGAGCTTCCATACCGACGAGGATTCTTAACATACCCTAGTATAGGTAGCTACCTATGATGGTATAATCCTTATCTTACCTTAGTGTACTTTACTTATGCTCTGTAATCACTTGGGAAATGGGTTCGTTCCCGCCCACCAACGCACTCTTATATTTAGGCACTTTTAGGTTTAAATTTATTCACATTTTCCACATCACTACACTTAATGGTTTCGTCACCTTTCAGATATCGGCCAGCACAACTCGATTCGGAGTCCTAAGGGACATACCGGATCGGGGTGTGTCAATTTTAGTAAAACTAAAGGATTTTCTACCTATCGTATATGATATCTTACTTTGAATTTATATGGTTGGATGTGTCATTTGTGAAGCAAGTTGTCGATGAACGTGTTTATGTTAATTATCTTTCCTTTCTTTTTTTTTTTTTTAATTAAACAACAACAAAAAAAGAATCGAACTTCATTTTGGTGATGTATTTGGAGAAACCACCTCGCAATACATGGTTGGATTTTGGGTATAAGCCTTTATGTTTGGATTTTGGGTAATGCTATCTATATGGTTGGATGGTGTTCTAACTTAATGAGAGAGATGTAATTTGAGATCTCATTTAATTTTGGGTAGTGCTATCTATATATCTATATATCCTTTTTTAATTCTCATACATCTCTTTCAATTTCCGGCCGCCAGATAGAATGAATTGAAGAAGATCAATGGCTAAAAAGTAATAAGGGTGTGCAAATGGGTGTATGAATAGAACTTCCTTAATTTTTCTTTTGTCTTTAATTATATCACCAAACGATGTAAAAAAGTATCAATATTAGATTTTATTTACGTTTTCCAGCTAAAATGTGTATTTTACATCTCTGCATTAGAGAATTTTCTAGTTAACAAAAAAACATAAAATACACATTTTGAAGCATTTTGCATCTTCCATTAGAGCAAGTCCACCCCTAAAAAAATGTGTCCGCACTCAGCTTATTTAATCCACTCGGTGAACAGTAATAGACCTCAATGAATAGTAATAAGCCAAATGCATCTCCGTCCCTAACAAAAAATAGCTAGCCTAGTTAATTTTATTAAAATATTATTTTTTATTATAAAATAATTAAAAAATAATAATTTTATTTTTAATTTCTGACTTTATTAAAAAATATTATTAATTTTTGATTTTTTATAAAATATTATTATAAATTACACCTACACACACCTATACATACAATAACACCACCGTCGCCGTCCCAAATCCTCTCCATTTTTCCGATACCCCGCCCTCTCTCTCACCTCCAAGCCTTCCTTGTTTGCTTTCTTAGTAACTCCAGCCTTGCACCGCCGGGCTCCTTCACGGCTAGTCGTGGTGCTATCTGCTTACAAACCTAGATGCCAAGCCCACTATCCTTGTCTCGGAGAAGCTCGGAGAACCCAGAATCAAAGTCAGCCCTGAGGAGCTCTGCACCAAGATCTCGCTCTACGACGCGTTGATCATGCGTAGCGAGACCAAGGTCACCTGCGAGGTGTTCGAGTCCTTCGGCGAGACGTTGAAGGTTGTGGGAAGAACTGGCGTTGGCATCGACAACATGGATGGCCAGGCTGACGTCAGATGGCCCGACTGTTAGGTCTGTCGATCATAGGCCGGTCTCTTGCCTGGCTTGGGCTGGGTACCAGCCTATTAGGCTGGGGTGGAGTGATTTGGTTAGGGGCTGGCCTGTTTTGGGTGCTAGGTGCCGGGCAATCCACTTCCAATGGACTTGCTCTTAGAGATGCCTTTATTGACACTAAAAAAAATTATGATTACGTCAGGCAGCAATAACAATTTTGAAAACAAAGTGAGTATCAATGACATTTTGCACGGTAAAGTTGAGGCGGTATGAACTTGCCATGTATCATTGACATTTTGCCATTTGTAATGTGCCCAAAAAGAGGGATTGTGGCTCTTAATTAAATAACAATGAGCATAGCAGATGCGCTTTTATTTACAAATTAATCCAAAAACAACAATTATATATTCATGAGAAATATTGATGACTGATGAGTAACCAGCTACATGAGTTAAATATAGTATCTTAATTAAGTAGCTCATGAGACGTTTAACTACATATATATACATATATATATTCATAGACTAGTCTTAGTTTAACCTACCAAGCTTACTAGACTGGTATGCAATGACATTGGCAGTGGTAGGGCTCTCCTCCAAAACGACTTCGTATCCATCTCTGAAGGTGTCCATTCCCTGTGCCATCAGCTGCCAGAAAATCCCACCTACAAGAGAACCCCCACTACTCGCACTTGTGTAGATGTACTCGTATAGTTTGCGAAAGTAGGCATTCCTCTTTCCTGGGGTGTAACCTGGTAACCTATAAGACTTGCCAAACTCTCCCAAAACCAGTGGTTTCTTAACTACTGTGTTGCAGTCTTCGATGTGTTGTTGCACCCATTTGTCCACAAAATCGGCTTGGCCCTCTTCGCTTGTCCCTGGTAACCTATTTCATCCAAGAATATTATATGCATGGCTTCTTTTTCTTCAAAAAGAAAAGTAATATCTATGGAGCTTGACTATAAACATTCTTTTAGTAAGAAAATCATCTAAACGTACAAAAAAGAACAGTATTGTTGTGGCAAATTTTCTAGAGGGAGAAAGAGGGTTAGGCGGCAGCAGAAATGTTCAAAGATATAATTATATTACAAGCAAACTTGGATTATTGAACTACATTACAGATTAACGGGCCTTACAATGTTAAAATATAGTTCACGTGTATTTCTACAAAAGTCAATTGTCTGCTCTTGTGAGTGACTCTTACTTGTTATATAAAATGGGAAGATTGTACAGATATATATATATATATATATATATATATATATATTGTACTATCTTATGGTATTTGAATAAAGCATGTTAATACTCTAATAACAAATAAAATATGCATAGGGGAAAGTATATACAGAACAAATAGAGAGTTTCTAAGTACGTACCATTGCTCAGCGTAGATATGTATAGTGGCGAAATCGATGTCGGGAAGCAAGTTGCTGGCAATGAAATCAGAACCATATTCTAGATTACCAGGATTGAACTGCTTCTTGTCCGGCGTTGTTTTGCCATAAAATCCTTCAAGCCCTATCTCTAGTAAATGCTTACTATCTATGTACTTAACGTGTGCAGCCATTTCTTTCACCCATTGCTGTACAATCAATTAGCTAAGGTGTTCAGATTCCATTAAACCATATACCAAAAAAATGAAAAAAAATAATAATTTAGGGAAAAAAGAAGTCGAGAGATATATACGTAACCTGAAGAATTGATCCAGATACGTCAGATTGGCAACGAGGCTCATTCATTAGTTCCCACGCGACGATGGTTGGATCATTTTTGTAAGCCACGTTTGTTATGGAATTTTTTCTTGTGAGCAGAGTCTGCATCCCAATGTGCACGCATGCCAGTTAAGATTCTAATGTAAGAAGATAAATCAATTTCCACAATTCTGTCTTCAATAATATTATTTAGACACACAAAATTAACATACTTTCTAATATAAGTAGATTTTACCATTATACGTCACTGTAAGACTCTTGTATTAGAAAATATTAACAATGTTGTTATTTTTTTGTGTCTAAATAATATTACCTTCATTTCATTGAACCAAAAAATATCTTGTGTGGGTATTTCTTTAATCAGGTACAGTGTTGGGAAATAATAAACACAAAATTGAAACACTTTGCTTCTATTGAATTGTGTCAGCAAGTGTAATGGTTAAGTCGTGTGTACAAGTGCAGATTATTTTTTTTTTTTCCTTCTTGTCATTAGTAATTTCTCTAAACGCGAAACAGATTGGAAAAAAGAGATGCGGGGGTAAGGTTTATATTCGTTCTTCTTTTATTTTTTATTTTTTCAAAAGGAATAAGGTTTACATCCCTTATTTTCTGTATTTTGTTTTTTTTTGCTTTATGAGTGGTAGGGTTCATGTCCTCCTCTATGTTGGTGTATCTTATTTTTTTCAGATCCATAAAATTTTCTCATATCATCGAAGTTCTATAAAAAAAATAAATTAGAAAAAAAACTGTAAATCTAAATAAAAGAATAATCGATAATTAATGAGAATAAATAAGTGGATATGTTAAGAGGCTATATCTATACCTTGATATGATCCTTATAATATCCTTTGACGACAGAATTAGTATAAAAGTCGTCGTCAGTGCTGATGGATTGGCCATGCTCTCTTGCCCACTGCACATATTGCTTTCTACCCCCATATTCGTCAAAGTTGTTCACAAAGCTCAGTATTACATATACACCATATCTTTTAGCTTCTGATATCACAAAGTCCAATCCCTACCACATAAAAAAATAAAAATAAAATAATAAAAATAAAAAGAAAAAGAAGTTTAGTTTAAAACAAGGAAACTTTAACGAAAAGTTTCCGATACTGTTCATTGTAACAAAAAACCACATTTTAACGCTAAAAAGTTAATCATGGTACTATTCCCTTTACCTTTTATTTTGTACTTTTCGTTAAAACTCAAAGTTTTCAAACCATTTTTATTAGTTTTCCTTTAAAACAAACGTCTTCATTAATCACCAAAAAAAAACCCAAGAGATATTTTTTTTACAAGGCCGTCCACCAAGAGATATTGTCGGTCTAGCGAAAAAAATGATCTTTACCAACTCAACCAATCCTTGTAGACATTATCAAACAATTTTAATATGAAACATATATACATTCAAATAGCATTTCACTAAATTAGTTGTAGTAGTTTAGATTATACATACATAAAGACATACGTACGGTATGAAGTACTGTACTACGTACCCTGAACGTGTCCTCGTTGTATGAACCAGGAGAAGGCTGAAGGGGTCTATCGTTACCCGTCACTGAAAGCCCAAATCCTAGCAACATTCATGCCATACTTGGAGGCTTGTTGGAGTGCAGAAGTGACCTTGGCCCTTGTAGATGGGTCAGATGCCATGTACATCATCCAATATGCATTGAACCCGTTTATGTAAAACGGCTTTCCATTCATAACAAAACGGGTTCCTTGTGTTCGAGCGAAAGTAGAACCAGGACGAGTGGCCTTCCCCTTGCAATCTCCTACCCGAGCATGGAAGATTAACACCCAAAAAGTTAACAAAACAAAGATATGGAGCAAACCCTTCTCGGACATGATTCAGTTCCTGTTGTGCCTGAACAAATTAGACCCTTTTAAGTGCTTCCTGTTTAACGTTTTATTCAGTAGCTGAGGACCATACTAGTATATATAGTACTGACAAATAGATAACAGTGATGAAAAGAACCAAGAAAATTAATGGCTCGTTTATGTAACCGTAATCAAAATCAGAAGAAATCCTAGAGTGAGAGACAGGAGGAAACACAAGTCACATGATGCATCATTTTACATGTTATAATAAGAATAAGAATGAACGATAAAACATTGAAATGTCTCACTTCGAGAATATATTTATAATTTGAGTGGAAAAGTAACAAAACATGGTCGTGTTCTGTGTACACCAAAAAATAGCTCAATAGATACATGCATGCATTGTTTTAAAAATTTCCGCCTAGCGCCACTTAGACGCTAAGCAGTTAACCACCGTCCGAATTAATTCCTAATCGTTTGAAAATTAAGAAATGGCTCGTATGCCTAGGCGTCGTCTGTCTAGCCCACCTAGATCCGCCTAAGCATCCGCCTAGGTCGATCGTGACTCTCACTTAGACAGAAAACAAATAATTTCATTTTGCATTTTATTTTTCAATAAATTATAAGTGACTTGTTGAATACTTGGATAAACGCTCATTATATGCATGTTCCTCATGTTTTCAATATGTTCTAATATTTGATAATCTATATGTCATTCTATTGTGCAATTTATGTATCACAATCTAATTATTTTATTTTTTAAGTATAAATAAATATTTATTTGTATGATATAATTCAATTAAAATTTAAATTAAAAAAACCTACGCCCCCGCCTAGACACCTAGACGCTAGACCCCTGCACGCCGCTCGACTAATCCCTATCGCCTTTTAAAACCTTGCATGCATGTATTCAATTATCAAAAACTACGGTCTAGTGGTATTCCTCTTTACTTGTAAGTGAGAGATTTTAGGTTCGATTCTCGCCAAAAACAAATTTGAACCACATTATTACTAACTCATTATGAAGCTTAGGCCACTCCTCCACCCATTAGTATAGAATTATCAAGAAATTTGAGATTAAAAAAAATAACCTACTAAAAGATTTCTAGAAAATAGGTGTATGTATGAGTCTATTACTAATATATCCTTCAACTCCGATGCTATTCTAAGCTACCAGAACATAATTATTTTGAAAGAAGGTGTTAAAATGGGATAAAAAATAGAAATTGGTAATGCTGGATTAGATGTGTGTGCCGTGTGGGGTTCATATGTTACATAATTACAAATTTGTAAATGGGAACAGAGAGACCCAGTATTGTACAACTTCCCATGAGAAAATTTACCTTCCCATATTATTGTTACGTGTATCGGCTTCATAGTACCTACTAAATTGTTTTTCAATGTACTGGAAAAGCGAGACATCAAGTGTTATAATAAAATTGTTTTAACTTTTTTTTCCTAAATTTCCAATCAATTGCATTGCACTTTTTGTACTGGGTTACGTGACCAACACACTCAAAAATGTCTCCTAATTACTTAGCTTCATAGGACGGTTTATTGCTTAATTATTGTGTTTAATTAAATTGATTACGGCATTGCTAATTTGCTATATATTTGAAATTAAGGATTAAAGGCAAACACTTATGGGTAGCATAAGGGATGTGACCATAAATGCAAATGCAAGCCCGTGAATTTTCATTGTTACCAATTTTTCAACAGCCAATTAAGAAGTTAGAGTCGGCTCTGAGATTTCACATACTATTGTTAATTTTTTATCATTGATCTTCTTCAAATTATTCGATCCACTGACCGAAAACCGCAAGAAGTGTGTGAGAAATAAAAATAGATGTAAACAACACTACCATATTGATGCTACGAAGTAAAATTTTATCATTAAAACTCAACATCAATTATCACAATTTTTTTTACGCTTTTATTGTACTTCTATTTGTAAACTACGATCAATCATGTGTTTGCCTTTCTCTTTTTTGTTTTGCCAAGTTTTCCTTACATGAATACAATGTGTGACTTGCACAACTTACATTCACATTCTTAAAAGTATATAATCCGTTTGCTTCAACAAAGTAAAGAAAATACCACTTCTAGACCACAGATTCATCGGGTTCTTGTTGTATTGCGATTTTAATAAAACTAAAGGATTTTCAACCTACCTCATATGATATCTTACTTTGAACATATATGGTTGGATGTGTCTGATGAGACGATATTATACCATATATTTTACCATATTCTTAGTATTAATTTATTAGTTATTTTAGTAGAATTTTTATACTTTGTTATGAATTTTCAATGTAAGACATTCGACTTCCTCAAGAGCAAAACGTCATCAAACGGATGAATTATGGAGTGATTCCAATTAGAGGATGTTCGTGACTATTTCAAGATGATTGTATCAAAGTTTCAAATTTTTCTACCAAGCCGTTTGACCATGACGATGAAATAAAGGCCCAGCGCGCAGCTTTCCCAGATTGACATTTCTGGACGTTTTGGATATTTTGGAGGTCAAGATGATATATTTTGAGAAATATTTCTTCTGAGGATTTGTAGGGGACGTCTCAAGCTTTAAAAAAAGACCTTTTGGGACCAAATCGGAGTTGATTTGGTCAGTCAAAAGACTAATTTTCTGAGAAGTCCAAATTTTAGTTCAAATAGGAAACCTTTTATTTTCTGTTTTATTATTTTATTATGTTTCCTAGTTTTAATCTGTCACATCCCGGCCCGGGGCGGATTACTTCCCAGGCCCGCTCCACCACCGTAGCACGATATTGTCCGCTTTGGGCTTACCATTCCCTCACGGTTTTGTTTTTGGGAACTAACGAGCAACTTCCCAGTGGATCACCCATCATAGGATTGCTCTAACCCCTTTCTCGCTTAACTTCGAAGTTCCTACGGAACCCGAAGCCAGTGAGTGAAGGAAGATTTGAGAAAAACAAGTTCATTTGAGAAACATCAACAACATGCAATTAACAATTAAAAGGCGGAATCATGTTTATATGCACTCAAAAACAAAACTTAACCCATGAACTTCAAAGCCTAGTAGATAGGTGAACCAAGACTCAACTCAAAACAAAGTGAGTTGAGAAATCAATACCTTTGTAGATTCCTCTTTGCATAAGCAAAGGCTAATCACCCAAAGAGAGGGCCTTCATTCCTTGCATCTTAGATCCATGGATTTGGATGGATGAAAAGGTTTCTCCAAGTTCCCAAAATTGAGAACCTCTAATGATTCATCACCAAGGCATAATGAAGAAGAAATGAGTGACCTTGGAGGAGTTTGATTGCTAGATGATCCCTCCAAGGTGGCCGAAAATTTTAGAGAGAAAGGAGAGCTTGTGTTCTCATCCTTTCCCCAAAAATTACCTCTTGTAAATTTTAGGCTATAAAGTCCTTTATATAGTCCCTTCAAATAAGTGACCTAATGGACCAAAAGCCCTATTCTTCTATCATGGCCGGCCTATAGGGTTCATTGGGCTTTCAAGCCCTTCGTTCATTCAAGTTGTCATACAACTTGAGTTAATGGACTTGACATTCAAATCCCATTGGGCCTTGCGGCCCAAAACTAACCCGAGGTCTTTAACGAACTTATTCGTTTGATTAATTAACATATTAATTAATCCTAGCCTTAGATAAATAATTAAACCATTTAATTATTCTTACTCATCTCCGTTGTTTCTTCAAACTCTACCTTACTCGGTGAACGATCCATTAGGTTCCTTTTAGCAAGGCAGTGGGCGATTAAAAACTCTTTCTAATCGATTGTGAATTGAAACTTACTTTCAATTCTCCCGTTAGTGATAATACACTTTTAGGGCTTCCACAAACCATGGTTGACGCCTAGCAGCATGTCATGGTTACCCAAGCTAATCAGAAGAGGTGGAGAACCTATTCAGTTTTAGGATTAGAAATGCAATACGGTCTTTCTCTAATACAATACTCTTGACCACATTGTTTGGTTTGATAGTTTATTCATGTCTACTATCCAATGTGAATCTTGTACTTATATGATTACCTTGAATGTGATCTGGAACGCATTCCAACATCTCATTCATACTCTGGCCAGAGATTCTAAATCATATCATAGAGTATTCTCCCTCAAACAGTTTGAAGGTTAGAGATCCCTTGTTGCGCATTCACTTGCCTCCATGACTAAGTGGCTTAACCCCGACGGTGCCGTGGACACCCTGATAGAGTGACTTTGACATAATCAAAGATCAAGTACCTAACCACAAGACAGCTGTGATGCCTCAGGTCAAAGGACTACTTTGCATTATCCCAACCATGAGTTCTCATGTGACATGAATATGAGAACTCTTCGTTGATCGTGTTCAGTGAACTCATTCTCTATTGAGCACCTACGTACTTGTCTTGATGTCACAAACACCAATGACTCGAGACTAGTCACTCTCCCTGAGAGAAGACACAGCACGTACTGATCTTAACGGACTGTCAATGCCCAATTGGCAATCCTATGATCAGGAACGTTTAGGATGTGTCTACGAAAGAATGGTCTCATGAATCAAACTTCTTTAGATCGCATTCTCCCAATCACATATTTCTTGGACTTATCGTTTAAGCATATAACATTTATATGAGACGGCTCAAACAATAATGTTTGCCCTTAATATTAAACTAGATTAGTTTAACATGTGAAATGTCCATAAAGTATCATCATATGATTGGTTTTAGGGCACATCTCCAATAGTGAGCTCCCAAAAGGCCTCGTGCTAGGTAGAGATGGGAATATACATTTAAGGATCACTCCCCTGGGCGATGTGGGATGTCACATAATCTATGACATTTTAGGTTTTTATTTTGTAGTAGTATAAATAAGGCTTTTTTAGCCATTAGAGAAGGTGAGTTATCAATTTGGAGAACTTAGCTAGGCTTTGACGTTTTGTATTTTCAAGGTGTTTTCTATCCATGTTTTTAATAATATTTTGTTTTATGATTGTTTGTAACTAATTTCCGTTTGCTAGGGCGATGCTTTGAGCCTTAGCATGAATATGTAGTTTTTATTTAATTGCTTATGATATTATGCATGCATACTTTGAATTATTAATCACTGTGCTTTAAACTGTCTCTATATCTTAATGCTTAGCTACCATTAGGATGTTTAGATAAGTAATCGGATGCAATTCGGTTGAAATACCACATGGGGATTGAGTATTGCTTCTTATGATTGATAGTTGTAATTCACCTAGGGCAAATACCACGTCTAAGGGGT